AAAAAGAAAAAAAAAAAACTTTTTTTTTTTTTTTTGGTAGGGTCTCACTATGTAGCTTTCACCATGGCTGGCTTTGAACTCACTGTATCCCAGGTTGGTCTCAAACTTGTGGCAGTCCTCTTGGGACTATAGGTGTGTGCCACCATGCTAGGCTTGTTTTTTCTGAGACAGGGTCTCACTGTGTAATTCAGGCTGGCCTTCAACTCACTAGCAGACTGTGCAGTGACTCTCCTGCCTGAGCCTCCCAAGTGCTGGCATTATAGGTGTGCCCCGGTATGTTTGTATGGTGTTCTGGGGGAGAAGGAGGGAATGCAACTGACAGCCAAACCCTCAGGCACTCACCCTGTGTTTGACAGAGTCTACAGAAGGTTACCGATGCGAGAGATGTGGAAAAGTGTTCACCTATAAATACTACAGAGATAAGCACCTCAAGTACACACCCTGCGTGGACCAGGGCGACAGGAAGTTCCCCTGTTCACTGTGCAAGCGGTCCTTTGAGAAGCGGGACCGCCTGCGCATCCATGTTCTCCATGTTCACGAGAAGCACCGGCCACACAAGGTGATCTGGGCAGAGGGAAGGGTGGATGGGCTTGCCCCGGGTGTGGGTTACCCCCAGGGGACCCTGGAAGACATGGTGTGGGCCAATCCTAGAGGAAGAGACCACTTTCTGATGCAGTCTAGGGCAGCGGATGTTAAAAGGGGCACAGGGTAAAGACCCTTCAGGCTGCTGCTTATGATTTTAGGTAATTGCACTAAATCCTGGATCCAATAGTCGTGTGGGTATTTGTAGTTAGTTAGATGTTTCTACCTAACTTTCTCTCTCTCTTTTTTTTTTTTTTGAGACAGGAATGTCACCCTGTACCCCAGGCTGGCCTCAGGCTCCCAAGTGCTAGGATTACAGGCCTGCACACTAAGCCCTGCCTTTTTCTTTTTGATGATGTTGAGGTATGGTCCAGAACCTTGGGCTGTCCCTGATGATGCCTTCAGGAGCCACGCTCTGCCTGTCCAGACACTGACTGGCTCTAGGTTTGGGCAGAAAGGATTAAACAAGCTTTGTCTAAGAGTAGCACTGAGGCACCACGAGGCATGTGCTTGCCCCTGACCTTCCGCCTGTGGCCAGTGTATGCCCAGCCTAGGTTCCAGCAACAGCGATGGAGGGGCTGGGAGGCGAGTTTTGAATTAAGCA